GCGCAGCTGTGTACGACCGTGCGCATTTGCGCACGGCCGTGTGCGCCAACACCAGCGCCCGTCGCCAGCACCTGCGTGAGCAGCAGCTATCACCGCCCCCCCCTTCCCTTCCGCAGCTTTTGCCGTGGGGGAGGGAGATGTGGGGGTGGCGGGTGTGAGTTGCCTGCAGCCCGTCCTACCCCTCCCTTCAGCGGGATTCGCCGTGAAGGGGGGGGAGAGGTTGCGGGGGGGGGGTGAAGGGAAACGGGGGGAGTGTGAGAGGGTGCGAGAGAGACTCTGCAAAGCCAGCAGCCACCCCTCCTCTCTCTCTCACTGCCGCTTGTGCTGCTGTGGGGGGGAGGGTAAGAGAGGGTGGTGGGAAAACAGTCAAGCATCTGCAGCTGCCACCCGCTGCTACCGTGGCACCTCCTGCTGCCGCCCCTGCCGCCACTTGTCTTTGTTTCTGCTCTCTGCTTCTGGGGCCTGCAGGTGCTGCCGTCGAGCCGCTACTGTCCTGCTGCATGTTGCAGCCAAAGAGCCTGCTCCTCAGGCGACCTGCCGCCCCTACACCTGTTTCTGCTTTGGCTGAGGGAGTGTTACAGCTGGATTTGCCACTCCTGCACCGGCTACTACTGCTCTTGCTTGTTTCTGTTTCTTCCACTGCACCTGTTGTACCCCTGCAGACTTTGTGCTACACACGGGTTTCCACTGTAGGCATTTAGGGGGTGTGTTGAAATGTATTTGTATACTTTCATATAAATGCCTACAGTAGCCTAGTGTAGTTATCTTAGTTTCCTGCTAGGTGGTCTACCATTTGCCTTTCTTCATTCTTGCCTATTTGTACTACTCGCTCCATAGTGAACATCCCCTTTTGGCTTGCACTTTTCCCTCGCCACTTTCCTTCTCGTCACCCTCGCCTAGGTCAAACCCTTGACCCTAATCTTCATTCTCGACAGTCGGTGCCGTAAATACCAAATAAGTGAAATAATCGGAAAGCTCTAGAAAATAGAATAGTAGTCCGATTGAGGTGAAATAAAGTGCAAATGAAAGAGGAAAATAAGGAGAATAAGATGGAGTAAAAATATGGAAATGAGAAATGTGTCGAACGTCGGCGTACTCTCACACCAACCTTCCCCGTCCAACGCAGTGTAGGCGAGGTCTCTGGAAAGGAGACACGGGGTTAGAGGTTGAGCTGATGCGCAGCGTCCCGGACCGCAAACGGCCACAGAAAATGGGGAGCAGCCGCATGGATCATGGAGGTACGAGCCACCTCCATGAATAAGCCAATGCGGCGCTCAGCAACCCCATTTTGCTGCGGGGAGGCTGGAAGCGTGAACGACTGGAGAATGCCCTCCCCACGACAAAAGTCCCGCAAGAGGTCGGAGGAGAACTCACCACCTCTATCACAGTGCAAACGCAGGACAGAAAGCTCCTCACGGAACCGCTCACAGAGCTGGGGACGGACTGCGCGGATCCAAGGGATCAAGACATCAGGGACCTCACCCTTGCTGCGCAAGGGGAAGACTGTTGTGAAATGCGTGTAGTCGTCAACAACGAGCAGGAAGTAGCGCTCGCGGTCCTGTCCACTGACGCGGGTTGGACCCCACACGTCCATGTGGAGAGTCTGTAGGGGAGCAGTCGTGGAGGGAAACGAGGAGGAGTGAGGAGCGGCGCGCTGCCACCCCTCGACGCAAGGAAGGCAGGGCGGGGTAGGCGATGGCAGGAGGGGAGGCAGAGACCTGGGAAGACCAAAAACAAGGAGGCGGGTGTGCATGCCACGAAGGCGTGGCAGGGAGGGGTGACCAAGGCGGTGGTGCCACAGGACAGTCTGGTGCGACAGGAGGCGACACGAGCAGGGGGCTGCTACCGGACCTAACGCGGACACCTGAGCAGACGCAGCTACCTGAGGAGGCTCAGTAGTCAGTGTTTACAGACTCGACCTAGGCCAACGGATGAACGTGGCCAGGTGACGACCCGTCCGTGTACACGAGCAGATCGACAGACGCTGACCCCCAGGAGTGGTGGTAGTGACCATCGCATCCTGGAGGGCAGCGATATGTTGGAAAGAACAGTTGAAAGTTGGAAACGAGAAAGAGGGGTTTCACTAGCAAGCAGTTGAGTACATATAGCAAACCCTAAATTGGGCTGTACTCACTATTGAGTACCCCACTGCAGGCTAGACAAAACATAACATTCTGACACGATACTCACCAAGTTTGTAGAGAACGAGGGGAGGTGAAGACCTGAGAGTGAGCCGGACGGAACCGCCGGACATGGGAGAACAGTGGAGGAACATGCAAGAACTGGCCCCCCTGAAGGGTCAGCCAGTCTGACTGGAACGGGTGCAGGGAGTGGAGTGAGTGTGGTACTGACGTGAAAGAAACAGGGGGAAGCACCTGAGTCAATTGTGAAGGTGTGCAAGGCCGCAGCAGGCGCAGTACCAGGGAGAGCAGACTCACTAGCACCTAGAGCAGCAGCCTCTATACCTGGGTCGGGCGGCACACACAGGTAACAGTCACCCTCAGCACTAACAGTCACCTGTGCGAATGACATACGGGCAGCAAACACTACCCCCAAACGCCCCACGCTGAGCAAACCACTCACGAAGCTGCTGGGGCGTAGGGGTCTCGCTCCGACGCTGCTGCTGCTGCTGCCTCTGGCCACCGCCAGAACCTCCCCTCTCAACAGCTCCACCCCGACCGCCACCACCCCGCCGCCACCACTCCCACTGCCGCCACCACCGCCACCACCACTCCCACCGCTGCCACCACCGCCGCCACCGAAGCCCCACTCCCGCTACCGCTCCCACCGCCACCTCCGCCACCTCCACCGCCTCCACTGCCTCCACCACCACCACCCCCGCGGTCACCGCCACCACTCTTGCCACCCTTGCCCTTGCCGTTGCGGCGCTTCCCACTAAGAGCAGAAGCAGCCCCGACGTCCTCAGTACCAAGGATGTCAACAGCAGCAACAGAAGCGTAGGAGGGGGCAAGGGGGGAGGGGGAACACCCCTCAAAGAAGGGTGTGCGAGGAGTGCCACGAGCAACACCTACAGCGACTACGCTAGTCTCAGCTATAAGGAGGTGCTTCTCGAGCAGGTCGACAGTGAGGTCTGTGGGGTCAAGTGCGAGAAAGTGGTCCCTGACTGCGCGAAAAGAGTCAGGGAGGCGAGTGACAATGAAGTAGAGAGTGATGTACATCGGGGGGCGGGTTCTTGTCTAGGAACTCGGCTGTGAGGGCAGCGCTGTAGCGAGTGTCGCTAGTGCGAAGGTGGGTGATGAGGTCCTCGACTGTGGCAAAGGCTGACAGCTCAGGAAAAAGGTAGGGCAGTATAAGGCGGACGAGAGCAGCAGTGGCAGGGGAAGTGTAACGAGCGACTACAGTGTCGTGCAGGGCTTTAGCAGTCTTGTGTTGGCCAAAGTGGGCGCGTTAGGCTAGCGGCAGGTGGTTGCGAACGGCTAAGCGAGCAGCAGCGTCACGGGTAACCCACTGTGAGCGAGTCGCACTGTCAGCTGTGGCGGGAGGGGCGAGAGAGGCTCCAGACGTGTGGTCAAACAACGGAACGCTGTCTCTAGAATCGCTCAGTAGGTACAGCTGTAAGTCGTCAAGCCACGTATGGAACTGGATTGGACGGCCCTCATGATCGAAGGTGAGAACAATAAGAGAAGCCATAGCGAGCAGAGCTGGGTGGCGCGCGACCAGCAGGGCAGCACACAGGCAGGGCGGCGCGCGAATACTAGGGAAGCGTGTAGGGCAGGGCGAGGCGGCGCACGGCTAGGAAAGAGCGGCGCGCGGCCAGGGCAAGGCAGCGTAAATGGCAGGGCAGGGCGGCGCGCGGGCAGGGCAGGGCGGTGCGGCGGCCAGCAGGGCAGCGCGCGGGCAGGGCGGCGGCCAGCAGGGCGGCGCGCAGCAGGGCGGGCAGTAGCAGGGCGGCGCGAGCAGCAGGGCGGCGCGCGGGCAGGGCAGGGCGGCGCAGCTGCCAGCAGTGCGGTGCGCGGACAGGGCAGGGCGACGCGAAGGCAGAGCAGGGCGGCGCGGCGGCCAACAGGGCGGCGCGCGGGCAGGGCAGGGCGACGCGGCGGCCAGCTGGGCGACGCGATAGGCAGGGGAGGGCGGCGCACGACCAGCGGGGCGGCGCGATGGGCAGGGCAGGGCGGCACGACGGGCAGGGCAGGGCAGCGTGCGGCCAGCTGGGCGGCGCGACGGGCAGGGCAGGGCAGCGCGACTAGTGGGGCAGCGCTACGAGCAGGGAACTATGCGGTGGGCCCTAAAAAAAACGGTCCTGGAACAGGACCTGCTCTGATACCATGTCAGAATACTGAACGAAAATGAATGTATTGAGCAGAAATTTGGTACAAGTATTAACCCTTATTGGGTTGTACCCCTTTATTGGCTACCCCACTACAGCCTACACAATATAAGCATTATAACATTTTGACACCTGCTAATGGCATCGAAGCCCTTACCAGGATTTTTCCATGTAGGGGATCCAAGTACCACTAGAAAACACATTTTGATGGAGTGAGGATTGCATTGATGTTTCTGTGTTTGTTGCATTGCCTTCCCATAGGACTTCTCCCTAAAATTGCATGTTCTTTGGATTCACATTGCAAGGTGCCTGTTTCGTAACTATGCCGCTACACCTATCCAAACATGGTACATGCTAACGCGTGAAACACAATCTGGACATGTATACACAGTTTTCACACTAAAAACACTGTACCGGTACATGAATCAGAAAGGATCTGATTCGACAGATCGGCTAGTCAGGTATTGTGTCTACAATCTAACCTCAAACGAGCTACACTACTCTGCTGTGCTAAGTCCCAGGGTTGGAATATCCCAACCCAAGCCTAACAAGCACCACATGACCCTCACCACCTCGAACCGGTCCGTACCAGCAGAAATCAGTAGCTAGTACCTACCTAACCATAACCTCGCTCTCGGACATTGCGGTTTCATCTCGGCTTCTGCACAGTTTCGTCTCACCCGCACTACAGTTTCATCTCCCCTCCACAGTTTCATCTCAGCATGGAAAGCCGCACACGCTTAGAAGGAGACCCATCATCCCCCCCACCATCCACCTCCCTACCACCTCCCCCCTTCCTCTCCACACTCCCGCTCCCATTCCTCCCTACCCCCGCACCACCACTCCCAACCTCGCCCCCTTCCTCTTTGTTATCCGCTCCCTCTGCTTGCCTCCTGGTCCGAAGCAAGAGCTTCTCTGAGCTGGCTTTCTCAAGGGAGTTGGCAGGGATGATGTTCTGGGAGGGCGAGGGGGAGAGCGACGCACATCGCACCATCCCTAGGTCACCGCTACCCGGCTCCTCTCGCTCCTGCTGCTCTTCCTCCTGATTCTCTTGCTGCTCTCGCTCCTGCTGCTCTTGCCCCTGCTCCAGATTTTTCTTTGGCGTTTCCATCTCCTTCTTCCCCATCTCTCCCTGCTGTTCCCCTGGCTGCACTGGATTCTCTTCCTTCTCACCCACCCCAACCTCCTCCTGCTTCTGCCCCACATCCTTTTCATCCATGGCCCCTCCTCCCTCCCCACCTCCCCCACTCCCAACACCTGCCAACGTCCCCACCCCCCCCGCACCCACCCCCTGCAGATTCCTCCTCCAAGGGGAACTTCCAGGAACCTTCTCAGCCGCCCGGCGCCGCCAGGGGGACTTGACTCCACCTCCCGTGTCTGCAAGAAAGGCACCCTGGGTTCTGAAAGGGGTGGGCGACTTGGCTTGAGCACTGAAAGCCATGGGGGTCCCTGCCTTAGCTCCGAAAGCAAGAGGCGACTTCGGTTCGGCACCAAAAGTGACTGTAGCGGCTGTAGCTGCTGTAGCGGCTGCAGCTGCTGCAGCTGCTGCAGTAGTGGGGCCTGTTGTAGCCGTAAAGTCAGCCTTAGCAGGTGTTATAGCAGGTGTCATTCCAGGTGTCTTGGCAGGCGTCGCAGCAGGTGCCTTAGCAGGTGTTTGCAACAGAAGGTTGGATCGCGCAGGGGTGAGGCCAGAGGCAGCCATAAGGCGATCCGTGTGTTGTTGCTGCTCCAGCTGAAACAGAAGGTCGGTTTTTTCCCTGTAACGGGAAGGGATGACGGGCGAGAGAGAGGGCGAGAGAGAGAGGGGGGGAGAGAGAACAGAGGGTTCGGTCGAGCAGGGGTGAGGCCAGAGGCAGCCATAAGGCGGTCGGTGTGTTGCTGCTGCTCCAGCTGAAACAGAGGGTCTGTCTTTTCCCTGTAGAGGAAAGGGACGCCGGGCGAGAGAGAGGGCGAGAGAGGGGGGGAGAGAGAGTGGGGGAGAGAGAGGGGGAGAGAGATGGAGAGAAAGAGGGGGAGAGAGAGGGGGAGAGAGAAAGAGGGAGAAAAATTAAGTGGACGCATGAGGCCAAGGGCAAACAGCAAAAAGCTTGTCTGTATGCTGCTGCTGCTGCAGCAGCAGCAATTTGGCACTCGGCACTGTTACGTTGTTGCAACACAGCTTTCAAGAACAACACAGCTTTCAAGAACAAACACCCTGTCCTGTATTTCAAGCCACTCCCCATACGCCAGACCTATACCCCATACAAGCAGATACTGCAACGCACCTTTCAAGAGCAAACACCCTGTCTTGTAACGCAGCTGCTGCTGCAGAATCCTCCCTAGAAACACCAACACCACCAACACCACCACCACCACCACCACCACCACCACCACCACCAGCACCAGCACCACCACCAGCAGCGGCAGCAGCAGCAGAGAGCCTATCCAAGGCATCATGAAGCTCCTCCTCCCGTTCACTCAGCTTCCTCCTGTACTTCGCTAATGCCTCTTCCGCCCGCCCCTTCTGCGCCCTCTCACTCTCCCACTCCATCTCAGCAACCCGCAGCTTCGCCCTCAGCCCCTTCACCTCCTCCCTCAACCGCCCCAGCTCCCCTTCTCCCCCTCCTCCGCCCCCTCTCTCCCCCCCACTCCCCACTCCCCCTCCTCTCCTCTCCTTCTCTCTCGCTGCCTCCACACCCTCTAGCTTCTCCCTCAGAGCTAGCACCTCATCTCTCAACCGTTTCAGGGTCACCTCGTTTTCATCGTTCAGGCTAACAGCATCAGCCAGCAGTCTGCTATTAAGCTCCAGCTCCTCCCTACGGGACTTGGCCTCCCGCCTGGCTGCTGCTTCAAACTCCTTCCATCGCTCCACTGCCTTTTCCAGCTGCTTGGCGCGCAGCTCCCATATACGCCCCTCCTCCACTGTGCTCCAGGCCCCACCAGCAGCGGCGCTGGCAACAGCACTGGCAACAGCACCAGCAGCAGGGCTAGCAGCAGTGATGCCACCAGCGTTGGCAGCGCCATTGCAAGCAGCACAAAGGGAAACAGCAGCGGCAGCAGCGGAACTAGCAGCTGCAACAGCATCAGCTGCAGCAGCATCAGACGCAACAGCAGCTTGAGCAGCAAGAGCAGTAGCAGCCTCCTTCCTCTCCTCCTCCTTCCTCTCCAAATCGCCCTTCATCTCTGCAAGCTGCCTCTCCAACTCCCTCACTCGCCTCTCCGCCTCCCCTTGCTTCTGCTCAACCTCCCTCACTCTCTCCTCCTCCTCCTCACCCCTCCTCTCCATCACCCCCTTCAACCCACACACCTCCTCCTCCAACTCCCTCACTCGCCTCTCCGCCTCTCTCTGCTGACCCTCCACCTCCCTCACTCTCTCCCTTCCCTCCTCCACCTCCTCTTTCAACTCCTCCTCTCTCTTCCTCCTCTCCTCCACCTCCCTTCTTCCTTCTTCCACCTCTAACAGCAATCGCTGAACAGCCTCCCTTGCCTCCCTCAAATCCCACTCCGTCTCCTGCCCCTGCTCCCGCTCCTGCTTCTGATCCTGCCCCTGCTTCTCCTGCTTCTGCGTCTGCTCTTGTCCCTGCCCCTGCCTCTCCACCATCTCTCCTTCCTTCTCCCTCTCGCCCTCCCGTCCAGCCTCACTCTTCCCTGCTGCACCACCCGCCTGTGGTGACTCCACCTCATTCCCGCTTCCCAAATTCCCCACCTGCCCTCTTAGTGCCGCCATCTCGGCTTCCATCTGCTTGATCTGCTGTGCCCGCGCCCACCGCTTCTTGTTCGCCTCCTGCAGAGCTGCTGCCAGCCTCTCCAGATCCCTCTCCTTCTCCTCCACTGCATGATCGAGAACTGATAACCGGTCCTGCAGCTCAACTAATTCCTTTTCCCTCTCCACCAGTTTCTGTTGGGGGTTGGAGCGGGGAGGGAGGTGAGGAAAGTAGGGCAGGCATAAGCGGGGCTGCCTTCGGGCCTCGTTGTTGATCCGCTTCTTTTTGGCCTCCTGCAGAGCTGCTGCCAGCCTCTCCAGGTCCCTCTCCTTCTCCTCCACTGCATGATCGAGAACTGATAACCTGTCCTGCAGCTCTGCAAGAGGCTGGCCTTCACCCATTCACAAGCCATCCTTACCCCTCAATCCACTCACCCTCTTCACAGTCGACAGCTCCCCTGCCAGCTGCTGCACAGCCCAGTCGGAAGCCGACAGGTTCGTCTCGTTCATGCTCAGCGCCTCCTCAGCCTCCCTCAGCTGCTCCCTGAGCTCCTCCACCTGGCGTGCACGGGGAAAAACGGGCAGGGGGATGGCCGAAGGAAAACAGTTGGTTGGTGGAGTGAACATGGGTGTGCGACATCTAAAAAGACAAGTGGCTGAGCTGGGCCAGCGGCGAAGGGAAGGACAAACATATTGGTTTGACTTTTGAGAATTCTCAAAAGTCGCACCAATAAAAACACAAGTGGCTGAGCTGGGCCAGCAGCGAAGGGAAGGACAAAGGTGATTTTTTTTGGCCGCCTCAAAAGCAGAGGCAAAGGAGAGGATATGAGTGAATGTGGAATTAACAGATTTGATCAAACAACGTTTCATTCGCTCCCGGTAGTATCACACCTTATACTACCACTCACCAGCTCAATCATGTCGTTTGCCTCTCCTCCATTCCCCTGCTCCTGCTGATGTGGCTGTTGCTGCCCCTCCCCCTGCCCCTGCTCCCTGAGCACCTCGATTTCTCCTTGCAGCGCATCAAGCTCTCTCTGCATCCCATCCACCAACTCCCTAGCAGCGCTCGCCTTCCCCTCCGCCTCCTCAGCTGCCTCCCTCAGCTGCTCCCTCAGCGCATCAGTCTCTCCTTGCAGTGTCTCCTTCTCTCTCTGCACGGTCTCCACTTCTCTCTGTAACTCGTCCACCAACTCTCTTGCGGCGCTCGCCTTCCCCTCTGCCTCCTCCACTGCCTCTCTCGCCGCATCCACCTCCTCCTCCCACCGCCTCCTTTCCTCCTCCATCCTTCCCTTCTCCTGCTCCATCTTCCCCCTCTCCTCCTCCATCCTCTCTCTCTCCTCCTCCCACTGCCTCCTCTCCCCCTCCAAAACACGCCTCTCCTCCTCCCTCTCCTCCTCCCTCTCCTTCCTCTCCTCCTCTCTCTCATTCCTCTCCCTCTCCCGCGCCTCCCTCTCCTCTTCCCCCTTCCTCCTCACCTCTTCAACCTCCACCTTCAGAGCTTCAACCCGCTCCTCCATATCCCTCTCAACCTTTCTCTTCTCATCCCGAATCCCTCCCATCGCAGCAACCACATCATCCCTAGCCCCTTCCAAGAGCCTCACCTGCACCTCCCTCGCCTCCGCCTCCTCTCTCAACCGCTCACACTCCCTCTGCACCGCCTCCCGCTCCTCCCGAATCACCCCCATAACCCTTTCAACATCTCCCAACTCCTTCTTCCACTCCTCAGTCGCAACCACTGCTGCCTCCCTTACTTCCTGCAACTCCCTCTCTTTCTCCTCTCTCGCTTCTCTCTCTGCTGCAGCCTCCCTCACTTTCGTCGAAAGTTCCAGCCTAAGCCGCCCATACTCCCCTTCAACAGTCTCTAGCCTTCGCCTCACCTCACTCTCCCCGACCACCTGCCCTCTCACTCCCTCCAACTCCTCCCGAACCCTCTCCACCTCATTCTCAAGCCTCTCCACCTCTCCCCTCAATCCTTCCACCTCCTGTTCCCTCTCCTCCTCTGCTCTCCTCTTCTCCTCTTCCATCTCACGCACTTTCCCCTCCGCCTCCCCTCTCCCCTTCACCTCCTCCTCAACCTTCTCCCGCATCTTCTCAATCTCTCGCTCCATCCCCTCTAACTCCTCTCTACCGCTCTGCACCTCCTCTTTCCTCCTCAGAGCCATCTCCACACACACCACTCGCTCCTTCTCCCTCTCCACCTCCCCCTCAAGCCCCCTAATCTGCTCCTCCAACCCCTCAACCCGAGCGTCCTTCTCCTCAGAAATCTCCTGAGAAATCCTCTGGGAAATCTCCTGCTTCTCTGCTTCTACCCGCCTAACAGCCTCCCTCTCCCTCTCCACCTCCTCCTGAAGCCTCTCAATCTGCTGCTCTAGCTCCCTCACCTTCTCCTCCTGCTCCTCCATCCCTCTTTCCTTCGCTTCTAGCTCCTCCCTCACACTCTCCACTTCCCTCTGCATCACACTCAACTCCTGCCTTACGAGCCCAGCTTCCTCCTCAGCCGCTTCTTTCCTCTCTACAGCCTCCGTCACTTGATCCCTTAGCCTCTCCAACTCCTCCTCCCTCTCCCTCTCTGCCCTCCTCCCTTCCTCCACCCTCCTCCGCATCTCCTCACACTCTCTCTTCGCCTCTTCCACTGCCTCCTCCGCCTCCCTCACACTCTCCCTCACACTCTCCCTCACACTCTCCAGCTCCGCCTCAATCTCCCGATTCCTCTCACTCAACCCCTGCACTTCCTGCTTAAGCCCTTCCCTGGATTTTTCAATAGCATCCACTAGAGCTTCACTCTCAGAACAAGCCTCTAAAGCTTCTTCCAGACGCCTCCGCATCTCCTCCCTCTCTTCCTCTGCTATCTTCAACTGCTCCTTAACTCCCTCTGTTTTTTTCTCTCCATTCTCCCTCTCCACCCCTTCCAACTCCTCCATTCTCCGCACCAGCTCCTCCTTCTCCCTCTCCCACGCCCGCATCCTCGTTTCAAGCTGCTCCACTGCAAGCCTACGCGCCTCCTCCGCCCCACCCGCCATTATCTCGCTCTCTCTAGCAATCTCCCTCCACCTCCCGCACTCCTCCTCCACCTCCTTCAATCTCTCCCCCAGGCCCATATGTGCTTCCGCAGCGTGACTGAGTGCTTTGCTCTTCTGCTCCTGCTCCGATATACACTGCTCTGCTGCTGCCAACCGCCCCTTGAAGGACTGCCGAAACACCTGAAGATCCTCCTGGCTCAGCCGCCCCGTCAGATGCTTCACCTGGAGATCGTGGGTAAGAAGGAATAGCGGAATTAAGCCAAGGCTTGCAGAAACACCTGGTAGGCTCGACCAACCAACTAATAGGTGCTTCACCTGTCGAATCACCTGAGGCTTGCCGAGTTACCTGCGCCCCCGTGATCCCCTCATTCACACCTCTCTCTCACCCCTTTCTCTCACGCCTGCCCATTCCCGCGCACCTGCTCTTCAGCTCCTCGTTCAGAGCCTCCGCCACTTCCACCTGCTGCTTCTCCAGCAGCTGCCAGACACTCGAACCCTGCCAACCCCACTCAGCGCTCACGCCCTTTGAAACTTCCCAAAACACCTTCCAGCTCCCGCTCACCTGTTCCTTGAGCTCCTCGTTAAGAGCCTCCGCCACTTCCACCTGCTGCTTCTTCTCCAGCAGCTGCCTCTCCGCCCGAGCCAGAGCCTCCCGCAGGTCCGGGCTTGCCGAACCTGCCTCGCAGCTCTGGGCCAAAGCAGTCGCCTTGAGCCTTCGCCGCAGCTTGCTATTCTCTGGAGGGAACAGATCAGAAAAGAAGGAAAGAGAAACAGGAAGAGTTAGAAGGCAGTCCTAGGCCTTAGCCTCAGGTTGGTGCTTTTGAGGCGCTCCAAAAAGTGTCTAGAGACAGCTTGGTGCATTTTTTACTCCGAATTCAAAATGTCAGGAGAGTAAAAGAATGCAAGACTTCGAATACTGCCCCTCGCACTTCAACCCCTTGTCGGAGAGCAGCACATCCAGCCTATCACCCCTCTTGTGCTCCAGTGCAACCTGCATTGCCTTCTATCTCACCTCCCTTGACCAACAATGGTTTCTGAGAGTTTTCCGCTCAAGAGGGCTCAAAGCAGTAATCTTTCTCACCTTCCTTCACGGAATGCAGCTTCTGAGAAGCCTCCTTGCACTCCAACCCCTTATGGCTCAGCAGCGTTGTGAGCTCATCCACCCGCTTACCCTGATCCTCCAGCCTGACACACAAAGAGAGGGGAACCAAGGGAGGTGATTGAAACAGGTGCCTCAAGACGCCTCGAAGCTGAACGACTGAGCGGCAAACTCTGACCTAGTCAGCATATAAAATAGCCTGAAGCGTTTTTTAGAGAAATAGAATTGCTTTGAAGATTAACAAGCCACTCACATAGCCTGCAGCCGGTTCTGCCCGTCCATAGCTGCCTGATACTCCTCCCCCAGCCTCCGCTGAATCTCCACGCTCTTCCGCTCCTCCTCGCGCACAGCCTGCCCAAGCGGACGCGCAATGTGCAATGAAGTGCAAGAATATAAACCTGCACCCTACTCCTGCACGGTCCTACTCCTACTCCTGGGCCTGCACCTGCTCTTCCAGCTCGGCCACTCTTCCTCAAACCACTTCATCTTCCATGCCTCTGCTCCTACCTGCCCCATGCCCCACCTGCTCCACGCGTCCCCTTTGTTCCAAACTTCTCCATGCGGTAGGTTGCTTCCTGCAGCTCCTATACCGGCTTCTCCAGCTCGCAAACTCTCCCTCAAACCATTTCATCTTCCGTCTCTGCTCTTACCTGCTCCCGTGCTTCACCTTTTCCATGCGGTAAGTGGCTTCCTGCAGCTCCTTCTCCTGCGCCTGCACTCCTCCAGCTCACCCACTCTCTCTGTCCAACTTTCCTCTCTTCTCCTAGCCATGAGTCCTCTGCTCCTACCTTCTCCATGCGGTAAGTTGCATCCTGCAGCTCCTGCTCCTGCGCCAGCACCTGCTCTTCCAGCTCGCCCACTCTCCCGCAGACCAATTCATCTTCCCCACGCATGCTGCTCCTACCTGCCCCATGCCCCACCTGCACTACGCGCCCCCCTGCTCCTACCTTCTCCTTGCGGTAGGTTGCTTCCTGCAGCTCCTGCTCCTGCGCCAGCACCTGTTCTTCCAGCTCGCTCACTCTCCCGCACACCTCTTCATCTTCCGTCCCTCTGCTCCTACCTGCTCCATGCCTCACCCTCCCCACGTGCCCCCCAAGCCTCACCTTCTCCATGCGGTAGGTGGCGTCCTGCAGCTCCTGCTCCTGAGCCAGCACCTGCTCTTCCAGCTCGCCCACTCTTCCACAAACCACTATCGTCCATCCCTCTGCTACGACTTGCCCCATCCCTCACCTTCTCCATGCGATAGGTGGCGTCCTGCAGCTCCTGCTCCTGCGCTAGCACCTGTTCTTCCAGCTCGCCCACTCTCCCTCGCAGCACCTGCGCCTCCCTTTCCGCCTTCTGCACTTTCTCCTGCAGCCGCACCCTTTCCCGCTCGATGGACGCTTTCTCCTGCAAAGGGAGAGGCGGAAAACGGAAACACATGAGCAAGGAGCAGATGCGCATATCCAAGTCCCTTCCTCTCCGCCTTCTGCACTTTCTCCTGCAGCCGCACCGCGCTTTCTCCTGTAAAGGGGGAGGCAGAAAACGGAAACACATGAGCAAGGAGCAGATGCGCATATCCAAGTCCCTTCCTTTCCGCCTTCTGCACTTTCTCCTGCAGCCGCACCCTCTCTCGCTCGATGGACGCTTTCTCCTGGAGGGGCAAGGGGCGACCAAGGAGTAAACACACATGCTGTGAGCAAGGAGCAGACGAGCACACGCAAGCCCTTTCCTCTCCGCCTTCTGAACTTTCTCCTGCAGCCGCACCCTCTCCCGCTTTCTCCTAGAAAGAAGCAAGGCAAGGGGTACCAGATGCACGGAACACACACGATGTGATGCACGGAGCACACATGCTGTGAGCAGGGAGCGGACGAGCAGGGAGTGGTTACAAGGTCAAGAAGCAAGCAGGTGATACTTTCTGTGTAGTCATTGTACGGCGTAACCGGGCAGAACATCGCTGCACCGCAACGAACCATGGCTTACCTTGGTTCTGACGGTTGAGTCATGATGCAGTTGCTTCACCGTGTCGGCTAGCCGCTTGAAGTCCTGTAGCGAACCGAAATTGACAAGGGGAGAGACGGCGGAGGATGACGAAGACAGACGGAGCATGAGGTGAGATGACGGAGGACTGACGGAAGTTGAGGGAGCATGAAGAGGAATGACGGAGGATGACAAGAGAGCGACACGAGACTGGCATGCGCATCGCGTAACGAGAAAGTGTCCCATGCATGGTGGAAAGATTCAGGGAGCAGGTTTAGGAAGTGGGTGTAACGAACCTGGAATGAAAGGGATGGGTCCGGGCCTTACCTGAGTCATGGACCGCTTTTCTGACTTCTCATTCTCCAGTTCCTGAAGAAAAACCACACACACGCACACAATAAAAGTTGATACGAGTGAGTTACCGTGTTCGCGTTGTTTCATCCGAGCAATCAGGTACTCAGAAGTCTCGCAAAGTGGATTAGAAACAACAGCAATGACGGATATCTCTTTATCCGTTTCATCTTCACAACGAGCACTGAGCAGCCCCGAGTTTTCAAGCGAACCAACAATACGTACAACTCACAGGAAGACGGCTGTCGGACCCTTCGAAGGAATTGAAGTGACTCGTGAGTCGACCCGAAAATCACTTCGTTACAGCTATGCAAGGAGAAAGGGTTCGCACATACCTGGTGAAGAAATCGATGGTTTTGTGAAAGCCGCGAAAAACTGAAGACGCTTCTAAGTCGACTCACAAAATCACATGGACAGGATTTTGCAAGAAACGAGGAGGATTGAGCTGTACCAGGTGAAGGGAGTCGATGGTCTTATGAAGGCTCTCAATCTCGCCATCTTTCTCCTTGATCGTCGCGAGCAGATGCTTCGACTTGTGCTCTGACGAGAACCAGCCCGCTCGCTGAGCCATGGTTGCTCGCTCGAGTCAAACCGCTGATAAGTACGTGGTCGTATCTACGCTAGATGGACCAAAACTCGGCCGGCATCGCGCACCAACTCCAGAGATTTGTAATCGGGAGCTTACTTTCCCCACTATAATTCGTGATACTGGGAAAAATGATCCAACTGCCCTGGAAAGACTCGCGACAAGTTGACTAAGCATCCGACAGCCAGACTTCCGCCTAGTTCTGTAAATATATTAGGTCCTTCACGCGAGTCCTAAAATTAGCGTTGTATCTCGGAGATTCCAGCTCTTGTTCCTGGAGGGTACGAGGAGGAGGAACAAGCGAGCCGAGCTTGATTGAAACGGCCTAACGAGTTGCTCGGAGATGACCAGAGCTCGCCTTAGAAGAACCTGATAAGTGAAGCCATCTCCGTGAAATGCCCAGTGAGTCAGCCCATCACAGTGATTACATCACCTTGGAATTTCATCTCCGTAATTCAGGCACACAAATGATGGGAGAATCGACGGTCCACATCACATCTTTTGGTCTCAGAAAACATCGCTGCTCCCAGCGAAAACACCTCAGAGATTGCTGCTGCTTTCAGCGAAAATCATGAAACTCCGAGAGCATCAGAAAACTCTGGGATTGTCGAGTGGGACGATTGATGGGTTTGCCAGCTAGCTACGTATCTGCATTCCGAGGTGTTTGATTGGGTTCCTCACGGTTCATTCATAATACCGCTTTGAAGTGCAGCACACTAGAGAGAACCGAGCGAGAGAAGCCTGTCGGGGGTTGTCCAAGCCCGCAGTCGGTTGGCTCCAGAGTTTGCCGCCAAATTCAAATTCCGTCCTCCCCAAGTTTCCCCAGAAGACATTTGCCTCTGCGGTAGGCTCTGTTCTGAAGTTTTGCACCCTGCCCGGACCGTGTGGTGGGTGCACCTCACCCTGATGCGTCAGAGAATCTGTTCGGTTCGGCATGTGGCAGGGTCAAATGTCTCCCGCGCTAGTTTGAAAATGCCTGCCGCAGCGCGCGTCAGAAAGCATTTCATGCTATACTCGATACAGAATTGTCAAGTACTCTGTATTCGCATGAAACTGGATTTATTTAAATGATGAACAAATTTAATGGCTATGATATTTACAATGATTTCACATGCGAGTTCAGATAAGTTGTTCAGTAAAAATATATATATTTTTTCTCTTACCATAAGATTTTTACTGAAAGCTCAGGTACCTTCTGATGTATTATGAAGCCTAGAAATCGATTTTTTGGAGCGTGCTACACTATTACACTCCCTCCCCGTTGTAAAGCACAGCCGAAGACACCACCTACCACACTTCCTAGTGTCAATTCTGCAGCATTGACTTGATTCCGAGGAAAGTAATAGCGAGGATGCCATTAGGAGACGAGGACACGTGGGACGGCGACCGACCATCGCCAATCAGTCGCATGCCAGCGCGTTCCCCTCGCCGCGGGTTACCACGCCCTCGCGCAACCCTCTTCGTTCTCTTCGCCATCCTCGTCGCGGGATGTCTCACCGCCGTCCAAATCAGTGGGTCGCGATTCTCACCTTCGCTTTCACGCCATTGGTGCAAATCATACGTTTAGCATTTCCCCATCGGTGCGCCTTCTAGGTGTCGTCCCACCGCGTTTTGGACGTACGCATTATAAACGATGAGTCTCCCATCCTATCACATGCAGCCATCGGTACCAACCCGATACAGTCACATGAACGTTGCACTCTGGTCAAATAACATGCGTCCCTCGCTACCCCCAAAATTTTTGTGTACCCCCTATTTTACATCCCTCTCCTTTCTCCCTCCCCATCCTCTCCACTCCTCCTTCCTCCTCCCCCCCTCCTCCCCTTACCACCTCCCCCCTCCCCCGTTACAGTCACATGGGCGTTTCGCCCGGCCAGAGGCGTGGATGCGGAGCTGAGCCACGTCAGCAGCATGCACAGCCCCGGTGCCGTGGCTACTGCCATAGCTGCCGCTGCTGAGGCTCGGCAACATGCTGCCAGTGCTGCTGCTGAGGGTCGGAAAAATGCCGCTAGTGCTGCTGCTGACTCTGCTGGTTCTGCTCTTACTAATGCTTCTAATGCCTCTGCTACTGCTGCGGGTGGTGCTTCTGCTAGTGATGATGCTAGTGCTGCTGCTGCTACCACTGCTGCTGGTGGCACAAACGAGAGTGAATATGGCGAGGGGACTATCGAATCAGCAGAGGAGATTACCACTCTAAACCGAGACATTACCTATTCGGCCCTGCAAATACTCCACCTCAACTACGGTCTACACCACAAAACATCTCTTCTCTCCCTTAACTGCACCGGGAAACCCTGCCCAGACTTCCCGGGCAGCTGCGGGGAACGTTTCCCCAACATCTCAGCCTGTTGGAACGCGGGATTGGTGGATGAGGGGTATGTGAAGCCGCCCACTCCGATAAACTGCCCGAAAATAAATAACGTGAACGACTTGAAACCAGAGGGAAGGGATACCAGTTGCAGCCATTACACGGACTTTCATTGGCACGACCAGGCAGCTTATCAGGTAATCTCATTATCACATTGCCTCATATAGCCGTTTCTGACTTAATAAGCCAGAGGGAAGGGATACCAGCTGCAGCCATTACACGGACCTTCACTGGCACGAGAGAGAGAGAGAGAGAGAGAGAGAGAGAGAGAGAGAGAGAGAGAGAGAGAGAGAGAGAGAGAGAGAGAGAGAGAGAGAGAGAGAGAGAGAGAGAGCCACTTCACTGACCTTCACGCCGAAGCGGCTTATCAGGTAATTGTAATCTCATGTAGCTCATGTCTACCATCATGCAGTATTTTGCTTGAGCATTGTGTATGTGAACGATGGTGGCAATGTCTTTTATCTCCTCTTCCCCGTCACTCTCCTTCCTCCTCCTTCCATCTCCCTCTCTCCTCCTCTCCCTCCTTCACCTGAGCGTTGTATATGTGAACGCTGATGGCAATTTGTTCAATCCCTTTTTTCCGATTTCACCCCCGTTCTCTTCCTCCACTTCCTCCTGTTGCATACCCATCATGCGTGCATGCAGGTGTTTCGCCTGAGTGATGTGTACGTGAACGACGATGGGAATGTGTTCAATCTCTTTCTTCCCTTTCCCTCTCCCTTTCTCATGCTTCCTCCCATCCACCCATGCTGCAGGTGTTTCGCCTGAGTGATGTGTACGTGAACGACGATGGGAATGTGTTCAATGCGACCACTCTCTTCAACAAGGGTGACTGCAACGGGCACCTCAATGTAAGATGTGTATCTGTATTACTGTATATCTTTACAAATGTATAAATATAGAATATGTAGATGTGTTCAATGCCACTACTCTCTTCAACAAGGGTGACTGCAGCGTAGTTTTGAGACGTCTCAAAACTGAATATGTAGATGTGTTCAATGCCACTACTCTCTTCAACAAGGGTGACTGCAACGGGCACCTTAACGTAAGCTTTGTAGATGCATGAATGTGTAACTGCAGAACTCTATGTGTAACTGCAGAACTCTATGTGTAACTGCAGAACTCTATGTGTAACTGCAGAACTCTATGTGTAACTGCAGAACTCTATGTGTAACTGCAGAACTCTATGTGTAACTGCAGAACTCTATGTGTAACTGCAGAACTCTATGTGTAACTGCAGAACTCTATGTGTAACTGCAGAACTCTATGTGTAACTGCAGAACTCTATGTGTAACTGCAGAACTCTATGTGTAACTGCAGAACTCTATGTGTAACTGCAGAACTCTATGTGTAACTGCAGAACTCTATGTGTAACTGCAGAACTCTATGTGTAACTGCAGAACTCTATGTGTAACTGCAGAACTCTATGTGTAACTGCAGAACTCTATGTGTAACTGCAGAACTCTATGTGTAACTGCAGAACTCTATGTGTAACTGCATAACTCTATGTGTAACTGCAGAACTCTATGTGTAACTGCAGAACTCTATGTGTAACTGCAGAACTCTATGTGCAACTGCAGAACTCTATAAGTGCACAAGTGCGTAGATATTCACAATGCAATCACCCCGCTTCAACAACAGTGACTGCAAGTTCCACATTTCTACAGTTATGCACAACTGTAAAAAAGTAGAACTGCGGAAAAGGTTTGTCTGTAAGTGCACTTGTAGAACTCTATTGTCAATAGAGCAGCAGTATCCCTTGTCAACTGTCAGGCCAAGATTGGTGGGATACTGCTGCCCAAACATGTGCCTTCTATGGCTGCTTCATCGAGTGGCAACCCGCCCTTCCAGCACCGTGATGACTTTTGAAGTGTATTCCAGACGTCTCAAAAATATGCTTTCTACACGTGCCTTCCAGCATTTGAGACGTCTCAATACACGTGCCTTCCAGCACCGTGATGACTTTTGAATCGACTCAAAATTCATCCCCTTCCAGCACTGCTTCACCACACTTGTTCGTGCACCCTGCCTTCATTCCTCGTGCTCTCTTCTCCCTCTAACCCCCCCTTCCCCAGTTCTCCTTCAAGGCAGGGAAGACCCAAGTGCACCACGCTGACAAAGCAGTCTCCCTGGTCTACCGCCAGGCAGACGCCTTTTATCACGGCTTCATAGAGTGGCAACCCTCTTGCTTCCCCTCCTTTTGGCAGTTCTCCGTCAAGGCAGGGAAGACCCAAGTGCACCACGTGGACAAAGCAGTATCCCTTGTCTACCGTCAGGCAGATGCGTTTTACCATGGCTTCATAGAGTGGCAACCAGCCTTCTACATTCTCCACTCGGTGCTTGCCGCTCATCCCGACATTCCCCTGCTAGCTCGGCCCTCCCAGGTAAGGATTTTAGCTGCTCTACCAACCATTGTCTTGGGTCAGGCTGATACTGTCAACCACCCCCCATACTACCACGGCTTCATAGAGTGGCAACCCGCCTTCTACATCCTTCACAAAGTGCTCGCAGCTCACCCCAACATCCCGCTGCTGGCTCGACCCTCCCAGGTAAAGCTGCTTCCTGCTCTCCCAGCCCTCGTCTACCGCCAGGCAGATGCGTTTTACCACGGCTTCATAGAGTGGCAACCAGCCTTCTACATCCTCCACTCGGTGCTTGCCGCTCATCCCAACATCCCGCTTCTGGCTCGACCCTCGCAGGTAAACCTGCTGCCTGCTCTTCAGCGTATTTACCACTGCTTCTAGCTGCTATCGCAGGCACATACATTTACCTCCCCATCTGCTATCACTCCTTCATAGAGTGGCAACCGGCCTTTTACATTCTCCTCACGGAGCTCACTGCCCATCCCGTGTATGAAGAAGGGTTTTGAGACGTCTCAAAACCCTTCTTCATACACGTGCCTTTTACATTCTCCTCACGGAGCTCGCTGCCCATCCCAACGTCCCACTGCTAGCCCAACCCACCCAGGTAAATGACAGGTCCTACTTCGTTTGCCCTCTCTTTTGAGGCCACTCAAAACACGAGACGAATCCTGAGGCACCTCAAAACAGGAGCTTCTAGTTCCCCGGCACTGTTCTGGTGCTGGGGAACTTTGCGCCAGCTACCCATTTCTCAAGAGCACACGCTTTATCCTTCTCTCCCCGCTCCACTCCCATACAACCCCTCACTACCCACCTCTCCCCACCTTTCCTCCGTCTCTCCCCAGTGGCGTTTCTATCATCGCACCAGGGTTGTGGCACAATTCAATACCTGGCAAGTGTTGGCACGAGGTCTTTCTGTTCTGCCAGCTACCCATTCCTCAAGGAACTCTTTTCCGCCCTCTCTCTCCCCTCCTTTCCCCCCACAACCCTCCACTACCCCCATCTACCCCCATCCCCCCTCCATCCCTTCCCAGTGGCGTTTCTATCATCGCACCATTCAGCACCTGGTGGGAGTCAGCATGAGGTCCTCCGCCGCCTAGCCATTACCTGAGAGAAATCACTTCCTGCCATTCCTTTTCCCCTCCTCTCCCCACTTCATCTCCCCTCCACACCTCCCCAGTGGCGTTTCTATCATCGCACCATCCAGCGCCTGGTGGGAGTCACCACCAGCTCTTTCCGCCGCCTATCCATTCCCGAGGGAGCCGTTTTCCACGTGAGGGAGCTGTACCTGCCGCTCTACCCGGGCTGTGGAAATCCCTCTCAAGGGCTAGCCATTCCCAAGAGAACCCTTTTCCGCCTTCTATCCCCCTTCCTCTCCCCCTTACTCTCCCCCTCTTCCTGCACTCCCACATCTCCCCTCCGTACGTCCCCAGTGGCGTTTCTATCATCGCACCATCCAACACCTGGTTGGAGTCAGCACCAAGTCGTTCCGCCGGCTAGACATTCCCGAGGGAGCCCTTTTCCATGTGAAGGAGCTCTTTCTACCGCTCTACCAGGGCTGTGGAAACCTCTCTCTTCTTTCTCCTGTCCTCTCCCCCTGTTACTGCACTACCCTCACCTCTATCAGTGGCGTTTCTATCATCGCACCATTCAGCACGTGGTCGGAGTCAGCACCAGCTCTTTCCGCCGGCTAGCCATTCCCGAGGGAGCCCTTTTCCACGTGAAGGAGCTTTACCTGCCGCTCTACCAGAGCTGTGGAAATCCCTCTCCTGCCATCTGGCACACCCTTCGTTATAATCACATCCTCCTGCCCGAAGGGTTGCCATACTTTCATGAGGACAGGTGGCAGCTCAGGAATGTGCCACGTGGCGATGGTCCGGGGAATTTTCCGGGCAGTTCGGATGATGGGTTGGGGAATGCAAGTGTGGGATTTCGAGACCGAGGGTATTGGTCGAAGGTTTTTCCGCTGCCCAGAGATTGGATTGTGGTGGTGGTTCAGCGGCTTGGGGCCAAGGGCAGGACGATGAAGCAGTTCGGGCAGCTGTTGGGGGCAGTTCAGAAACTTTTTGGGATGGGCAGGGTCCACATTTTCAACGGCACGCAGAGTGTTTATGAAAGTAAGTGTTAGGTGCTTGCTTGCACTATGCTCTCTGTTTGCCTTTTTTCCAAGATTTCATGCGACATTTTTTTCTGTTTTGCCTTATATTTGTTATATTCTCACGACCATTCACCAAGCTTTTCCAGCCCCTGGCCTCCCTTTAATCCCCCTCTTCATGATTCTATCTTTGTCCCCTACCTGCTCTGTCTTCTCCTTCCAGCTCGGGATTTGTTCAGCAAGGCCCGTCTTCTAGTGGCGGGGCATGGGGCGGGGATGTCCCACATGATATTTATGCCGCCCAACGGTACAGTGCTGGAGATTCGCCCTGATAACTATGATAATGCGTGCTTTCATCATCTTTCGCACGCATGCGATCTGAATTATTATCTAGTTTTTGGCAAGGGTGCTAGGCTCAAGCAGGCCCCTAGATTCGTTTTGAGCTAGTCTGAGGCCTCAGAGTACACCCCTCTTCCTAGTCTGGCTGTCAGAGTTCACCAAATTTTAAAGTCTGGAAGTTCAGACTCCACAAACTTTTCAACGCTGATGTTACAGACTAGCACTCGAATTTTACTCTTGTTTGAGAACACCACCAACTAGCAATTGTTACATGTCTGCATTAGTCTGTCATAGAATCTACAAGATCACATTCCACTACTGGCTCATCTACATGCTCCTTCCCAGCCCTTGGGGGCTCCTCCTTGTGCCTTGATGCAGGTGCTGTGAACGGCCGGCGCTTCTTGTAAGCGCGCCAAATCTCGACTACGCCTGGGACGTCTAACTCATAGTCTAGCAGTGAGATGCAAAGCAGATCGCTCAGCCTACAATCCTTGATGCTGCCCCTCTGCCACGTCTTGATCAGGTTCTGTCGGGAAAAGCCTCGCTCACACTCGACCGTGCTGAGAGGCAGCACTGCAATCGCCACCCAGAGTCCGACGAGGTTGGGGTACGCCTGCTGCCAATCGGGTGTCATGAGAATGGCGGTAAGTCCCGTGTGGAACTTACGCTCACTCTTCGGCGCTCTGGCAAGAACTGGACACAGCGTGCGAAGCTCCCTCATGGCCTTCTTCTTGTCAATGCCTGCAAGGTATAAGAGGCAACGGTTAGTATAAAAGCCGTGAGAGAGGGGGAACCGGGTGGCACTTCAAACTAACCTGGTAGGATCTCGTCGGCTTCATCTGCGCGGAACAACGTGACAAGCGACAAGAGCCACTCCAGGCACTGTGCCTGCCGCGCGTCCCGGTCCCATTGCGGCTGCCACAAGTCAGGGATAAACAGCCTCACTCCAGAAAGAGACTCAAGGTCGCCAAGCTTGGACTGGAGGTTCTCGACGACATGCTCGGCCATGTCGGTGCAGAGCGCCACGCACGCGTCGTGGTGGCCGGGCCCACGATAGTTCGGGTTGGTGCGCTCGTGAAGCGTCACCTTGAAGCGGTTGAGACTGCCATCGGACGAAGCTCCCTCGATCACCATTTCTGGTGAACCACGCGGTCCGTGCTTCTCGATGAAGCGGTACAGCCTCTCGGTTGGCCCTCCCCCGAAGTCGTCACCACAGTCGACGTAACGGCTCTCCAAGATCGATGTCGTGCGCACAATCTGCGTGTGCACCTGCGCGTAGTCGAGCTGCAACAAACCCATTCAAAAAAAATTAGTACAAAGCGGACGACAACCAAAACATGAAACACGTAGTAGGGAACTTACCTCCCGCTTCTGGAAAACGGAGGAGAGCACGTTGAGCTGCTCCAGTAGGTCCGCGAGGAACCTGATGAGGAACTGGAACCTGTACGACGTGACGATTTCGTACATGGTCTTGTCCTTCCACTCCGACAGCATCACCATGATCGCTGGAAGGACGTGGACGAACCGGGTGACTGCAGCTCCTCGTGAAAGCCACCGCACGTCATGTATGCCTTGGACCTCGAGGTTGGTGGAGGTGAACACCTCCTGCAGCTCCATGAAGCGCTGATGCCACGGTGACGATCGCCCGAGGTACTCTGCGACGGCGCGGATGACATCGTCCACCATGTTGAACGTTGGTATCTGCTCCGCCGCGGCCTTGGCAGCCAACGCCTCCCTGCCAAACAGAAACACACAAATGGGTTAGTGATTGTTAAAACAAACAAAGGGTTAAACAATACAGAGTGTGACACATTAAAACGCAAACGCACCTGTGCGCGATGCAGTGAAACGAGACCAGATTGGGGATGAGCATTCGCAGGCGAGCAACCACACCGTTTTGACTCCCCACCATCACAGACGCGCCATCAGTGCTCATTCCCGAGATACGCCGCAGGTCAACGCCGACAGCCCTGAGGTGGGAAACCAACAAACTGCACAAAGAAGCAGCGTCAGCCTTCTCAACAGTCAAGTGGGCGATAAACTCCGTGACAACCTGTCCCTCGCGGAGAAAGGTGGCAAACACAATCATGTGTTTGCCGCGGCGACGGTCGGTGCTCTCGTCCAGTGTAATCCCGATGAATGGGCTCGTCAGAAGGTGCTCAAGTTGCGTTGTTTGGAGCCACGTCGCAATTGCTTGGGTGAGTTCTCCAAATCCGTACCTACACAAAGAAAACGTAGTCGTTAGTGACAGTCAAACAGAAACAAACCAACAGGCATGCTACAGACACTACTTACGTGTTGTAGTACGTGCCGTAGCCCTCCGCGGGAAACCCGGGCACTTTCTTCTTCGCCAGGTAGCGCACCAACCGGATCCACGAGTCCATGGGCTCGTTGGACTTTCCCATGAAGTACAGCGAGTCCACGAGCGAAGACACCTGCAGCATCTCCAAGTCCTGCGCCTTCGGGTGCATGTCGATGCGCTGCTGGCGCCCGTATTTCTGGAGCAAGTCCTCCTGGCGCTGCAGAGCAAACCGGTGCTTCACCGTCCCTTCGTGCTTCTTGAAGGACTGTGTCTGCACGTCGGTTGCTCCCTCTGTACGCCGCCCACACTTGCCATTCAGTCCTGAAAATTCCAAGCAAATACTGCACTTGAAAGAAGGAGCACCAGTGGAGGTTTGAATTAGGACAAGCCAACTGAAATCGGTGGACCACTTGGATTTGTACCGCGCATGCGCATCTTCGTATTTCAACTCAGGCGTGTCGGCCTTGGGCTTTGAGCTAGCCTGCGTGGGCTTCGAGTTGTCCTGCATGAGAGATGCATCACTGGCAGGAGTCTCAGTGGTCGATGGAGGAGGTGGTGTTGCCCACGCAATGGTGGACTGACGGAACCGCAGGTTTGTCGGTGGTACAGCGACGGCCTCGTGCAGAGCAGCAGAAGCAGCGGGAATCGATGGGCGAATAGAGCTGGGTTGCTGTTGGTGCAACCCTACGGTTTGCACTCGGCTTGTTGTCCGTGTGCGTGAATGTGTGTGTGTATGGAATGGTATGAGGGCATGGGATAATATATATTTCATGCTTATAATTGTGTGTGAATGTTGAGTCATGATGTCGAGTGTGTGTGTCGAGTCAATAGCGAGTTATCGCTAGACGCGTGTTACGCGGTCGTTTGTGTCTCGCGCGCGGTTTCTATTTTGTCGTGCGCGGTTTCTATTTTGTCCTGTGTCGAACGTTCGGCGTGTCGCAGGTGTGTGCAGCAGACCCATCAAGAACTCAAGGATGAGTTTGTGATGAAGAGCCCGAGCCTTGGTGTCAAGCCTCAAGTGATTTCGAAGCTTGCCAAAAGGGTACACCTCAAGATATTGAAGATAGTTACATTACTTTGTGTAGTGTAACATTTCACTTGGTGTAGGCCCTAATGAAGGGTAGTTTCGAGACCCTTCGTGGTTGGGGACAGTGTGGCACTGTTCCACATCACTGTACCTCGGCTCTTGGGGTTTGGGAGTCATTCCCAACTCGTAACTCTTCCTATCTTGTGTTCTAATACTATAGTGGCTGCCATAGTACCGTTCGTTCAAACCGACGCTTTGTCGTCAATTCTTTATCAAATCGTGCAATCTAAATTGCTAATTGTAGACGACGTGAAGGCGCTCCAGATCCAATTTGAATCAAGTCATTTGCAGCTGTGAGCAGAACGCTATCAACGTTTGAAGCCGCTGTACAGAAATCCGTCTGTGCTCTCTATCTTTCGTTTTAGGCACATTCAAGCCTATTGTGACTATAACAAGTGGTATCAGAGCCCCTTGGAGCAGTTTCGACAATGTCTGGACCTGAGGAAAGGGGTGGCAGAGGTGCTGGTGGCAGTGGAGAAGCTCAAGCTCAAGGCCAACCCCGTGATTCAGCCATGGCGCCCATGCAACCAAGTCTTGGCCCACCTAGGGATGAGCCTAGGGTGTTTGGGCTTGACAAGTTCAACGGTGACAACTTTGCTGAATGGTCCTTCAAGATGGAGAACATCTTTGACCATTATGACCTGCTGGAGGTGATGGAAGGAACGGAGAAGCGCCCCGAGAACGACCCGGAGAAGAGCCCGTGGGTGCGGAAGAGTGCACAAGGCTATCTCTTACTTGGGCAAGCGTTGGGGAGCAGTCAGATCCGTCACATCAAGCCATTCCAGCGTGAACCAGAGAAAGGACCAAAGGCATGGGCTGCTCTCAAGGGTGTACATGCTCCTGCAACAGCGGCGGTAGCGGTGGTGTTGGAACGGCAAATGGCGGCACTTCGAATTGAAGAAGACGAAGCGGTTGAAGAAGGGGTGCAGAAATTCTTCGACTTGTTGACGCGGCTTGAGGGAGCTGATTTGAACTACAGTGAGCTCCAAAAGAAGACCAAGTTGCTGGCCTTACTCCCAGAGTCATGGTCCTCGCTCATCATCAACCTTAATCGCGACTTGCCCCGCCTCTCGCTTGAAGACGTGAAGCGAGCTATCCTTCAAGAGGATTTCCGCCGCCGTGAGTTGGCGAGTGCGGATGGCGCTGGGGCAGCGAGCATCGGCCGTGGATATGGTCGAGGAAGAGGCAGAGGACGAGGGGGAGGAAGGTTTGGTGGCAGCAACTTCGGCGGAGGCCGCAGGAGTGGCGGTTACGGCAGCGACGACAAGAGCTACGGACGCGGTCGCGGCCGATT